TTTTTTTGCACATTTGTTGTGTACTAAGAATCTATATCAAGGATCCTAATGTTCGTTCACGTCTCCATAAATTTATGGATTTTACCTTTTATTTATTGATTTTATGTTGAGAAAGCAATTAGGAAACTAATATAGTGTATGCATTGAAATAATTGTGTTGCGCTCATTCTTCAAAGCTAGGCTTTAAAATACTTTATAGCACTTGTCTTATCATGACTAGAATGAAGAGTTTGTATAATTAAATGCTTGAATGAAGGCCACTAAGGTTATGATGTTTTTTCGAATCTTCTTCATGTCCCAACTTGAAAAAGAATCTATATCAGGGATCCTATATCTATACTTTTTTTGCACATTTGTTGTGTACTAAGAATCTATATCAAGGATCCTAATGTTTGTTCACGTCTCCATAAATCTGTGGATTTTACCTTTTATTTATTGATTTTATGTTGAGAAAGCAATTAGAAAACTAATATAGTGTATGCATTGAAATAATTGTGTTACGCTCATTCTTCGAAGCTAGGCTTTAAAATACTTTATAGCACTTGTCTTATCATGGCTAGAACGAAGAGTTTGTATAGTTGAATGCTTGAATGAAGGCCACTAAGGTTATGATGTTTTTTTGAATCTTCCTAATGTCCCAACTTGATGTTTTTCTTCTTAAATGTAGGAGTTATTATAACACTGGTTTTCTTTACTTGTTTATATTTTCATAAGACCATTAGCCATGGAGCTTATAGGAAGATGAAAGATATTTAAAGCTTCATCTGAAGATGACAAATTATACTGTTCAGGGAAATGCACTCTGGTACATATTGCACTTGCAACTACCTGATGCTTTATCTTCTTCGTTTTTTTTTGAAATTATATATATGTATATCAAAGTAAGTGATTTTTTTCAATTTATTCCTCTAAATCTAAGTTGTTTATATATATATATATATATGATTATTAATTAAATCTTTAAATAACATTAATATCCTTTAAAAACTTTTTATGATCATAAAATTGTTAAGAGTATTTAAGATATATATTTAATTCAAATTAGTTAGTATTGAATACAGTTAATTGCGATTAGTATAGGTTCTTTTAGCTGAATGAATTGCGTATTATGGGCCCGACAGCGTTGCATGTGACCCACGAGGGCGTGGGCTCCCCCACGGTTGCGCCAACGAAAGGGGAAGCCCACGTGGTCCCACGACCCGCGTCTGCATCGCTTCCGCTGTTCCCCTCTTTCTTTATACTCCGTGCTCCTCTTCCTTCGTAATCGCCGACCAAAATGGCTTTATGATTCACTTACGATTTGGGTTCTTCTGGGCGGTGTCTTTGTCAGATGATGCGTTGCTGAAAGTTACGGGCAACATTCGACGACAGAAAGCCACACCTGTCAGTCCAAAGTTTGAAGGTAACGCCTCCGTTGATGTATCTTAGTCATCTCTGAACACAATCTCACTCATCTCACTTGTTTACCGAGTTCCATTTTGCTTTCCTCAAGATGACAAACTGAGATCTTGAGAATTTGTCCATTCTGAGCAGAAGATGAGCGTCAATGGAGCAATCACTTTCTCAGGTCAGCTTGAATTCCTGCAAGGGATGCAACCAAGGGATGATCAAACAATCTTAATGATTGTTTGCTCCTTGTGTTAGAATACCATGAACATTGTCGATCAAAACTTCTATTAGCTATATTAATGGCTAACTTGTTACTGTTTCTCCAGGCAACCAATTGTGAGCTCCTGGAAGTCTTCTACCTTCGCAGAATCTGTTCTTTTCTTGGAGACCTGGATTTACTGAACTCCCCCCTTTACCTGGCAAGTTCCACAAAGGTAAAACAATACATGAACCTGTCCCCTTGTCTCTCTTTTCAAGTCTTCTCACATTCGAACTGCATGATACTCCCCCATTGTCTATTAAAGCTCACCTGCCATTCCCTGAACCCAGCAGCAGAAGTATATCTTATTCTTCCTGAGCTTCAGCAGTCTCTCTTCTCTCCGTTCATCCATTCCTGAACCTCGCTTCCCCCAAAACATCAAGGCCAAGTAAGGGAACAGAGAGAGCTAAGCAATAAAGACTCTACCTTTGGAGGAGAAGAGCAGAGAAGGCAGCGAGACGGAGTGTCATCATCGGTAATAAGAGAGAGATGATGCGAGGTACCAACACCCTGATAGGGGCTGTGAACTTCGTGACGTTCCTGATATCGATTCCTATCCTGGCTGGCGGCATATGGCTGAGCGCCAAGGCCAACTCCACCGACTGCCTCCGCTTCCTCCAGTGGCCGCTCATCATCATCGGCGTCGCCATCATGGTCATCTCTCTCATGGGCTTCGCCGGAGCTTGCTACCGCCTCGCGTGGCTGCTCCGCCTTTACCTTTTCGCCATGTTCTTCGTCGTCACCGCGCTCCTTGGCTTCGTTGTCTTCGCCTTCGCTGTCACCGACCGTGGACAGGGCCAGGTCGTTATGAACCGCGCCTTCCTCGAGTACCAGCTCTCGGACTACTCCGGCTGGCTCAAGGACCGCGTCTCCGACCCCGGGTACTGGGCCAAGATCAGCGCCTGCCTCCGCGAAGGACATGCATGCTCCAAGATGACGAGATACTCCCGAGATCCCACCACAGGGCTGCTGGTACCTGAGTCTCCGGATATGTTTTACCGGAGGAATCTCTCCCCCATCGAGGTCAGTACTTGGATTCGTTGTCATTTATTTGTATCTTTGTTTGCATTTGCGAAAGATCGGAGTTTCTTCAAGGAGGCGATAAAAAAGAGGGCATCTTTGGATGAAGGATCGATTTTTTATGAGCAGACAAGTCAACAGATGTCGTCTTTTGGTGAAACATTTATTTATTTATTTAACGAGCAGAGGATTAGAACAGTAATAATTTTGTTAGTGGGATATCCTAATTACGGATTTAGTGATAATTGATTTTGGAAGATTAGATCTTGGATTTTCTCTTGCTTTTTGAGCAATATTTTTAGTAAAATAGTTTAAATGTTTAGTGTCTTCACCTGCTTTTTTGATGTTATTGTTTCTTTTTTCCTCTACAAGCATGTCCGATCAGATTTGGTCTCTATTACCAGTGCAAGCATGGAGAATGTGGAGAAACATTACTGGTTTTCTTCTGATTTCGGAAACCTTTTCCTTTCTTGCTTTCCTACTCAACTCTTCCCTTTCTTTATTTTTGCTTATGTGGAAAAGAAAATGAAAAATTCCGACCGTGTTTGCCCATAAGCAACGTATAGATGGAAGATTGGAGTTCTGGCGTGTAAAGGCTCAGTAACTAGACTGTCCAGAACAAAGGTGTACTTGCTTCTTTTTGGTTTTCGCTTAATGAAATCTTATGCTAATCATCTTTAAGAAGTCCAGGAGTCATATCAAGATCTAAAAATAAAACAACAAGCTCAGTCCTAATTTGACTGAATCTTAATAAAGGAAGTAAAAGAATGGTAGCTGAGACAACAAAGCAAGTAGACAGAGAGTAATGTTAAAAAGCCTTGTCGAACAAAGTTCCTCAAGGATCACCAGAGCTGCGCCTATTACTGAACCACTTAGAATAAGTCTTCTCTTTATTTTCCTTCTACCTTTTTACTTAGCAAGTGAAAAGGACGGTCACCATAGCTGCATGATTGAATAATGAGGTCTTCTTTTTACTTATTTTCAGTGGTGGGATCCTGTATAGGAGGAATTGAATGAAAAAAAAAAACATAGGTAGCATTGAAGTGGCATCATTCTCATATAGAACCAACGGTGCTTTTTCTTTTTTATAGTGGATGGTCATTCATGTTCTTCAACCCTCCCTGCATCTCCTGCACTATACCACCTCAGTTGAAGACTTTGTTTGTCTGTAATTGTTTATGCCCTGATTACCTTATCTAGAATATAGCATGGAGAGAGTTTACTCTGTATATGCAGTAGATATTCTCTACCTATGAGGTTGTAGAGGATTTGTACAACCTGAATATGTGGCAATTTCTTATTCAATCCTTATATCATACTCCCTAATGACAGCTATCCCTTCCTGATGTGATGATATTTGGAGAATACACTTTTTCAACCAATATGACATTCTCATATAATGGATTGCAGAGAATCTCTACAGTCAAGGTTGCAAAGGATTTGCACCTTGGTTTTAAGTGGTAACATAGCTTCTGTAGGTCTAAAAGATATTTTTTACAAACACCAATACATGCATATCTTAGCCATACTTTTTAACTTACATAATATTGAGTATCCTTAATAGTTGGTTGCTTTCTGTCTTTTTTTTTTTACAAAGGGTAAGTGGCGAGCTAAGCTAGTTGACATCTTTAAAACCCTCAACCTTTGTAAGTTAGTCTGGTACACCACCATCACCATTAGACCAATGTTTAAGGTATAAAAAATGTATTAGTTGAGGTTTCGAACCCTCAACCTTTGATAAGAAGGTCTGGTACACCATCACCAGATCAATGTTTAATGTGTAAATAGGTTGAATGAGGTTTTGAACCTTCAACCTTTGATAAGTTGGTTTGGTACACGGCCACCACCACCAGACCATTGTTTAAGGTGTTAAGATATATCAAATGAGGTTTCGAACCCTTAACCTTTGGTAGGTTAGTTTGGAACTCCACTACCATACCAATGTTAAGGTGTAAAAATGTATTTGGTACACCACCATTAGACTAATGCTTAAGATGTAAAATATATCGAATGAGGTTTTGAACCCTCAACCTTTGGTAAGTTAGTCTAATACACCACCATTAGATCAATGTTCAATATGCAAGATATATCGAATGAGGTTTTAAGCCCGCAACCTTTAGTAAGTTAGTCTAGTACTATCAGACTAATGCTTAAGGTGTAAAAATATATCGGATGAGATTTTGAACCCTCAATATTTGATAAGTGGGTTTGATACACCACCATTAGATCAATATTTAAGATGTAAAATTTATCAAATGAGGCTTTGAGCTCTCAATCATTGGTAAGTAGTCTGGTGCACCACCACTAAACCAATGTTTAAGTGTATAAATATATCAGCTAAGGTTTTGAACTCTCAACCTTTGATAAGTGAATTTGGTATATCACCACCGCTTTCTACCTAATTTGCTTGTCCCAATTCAAGTATGTTGATCATAAGTTCCAAATAGTTTTATCATAGTTGTGAAATATTGCAGCTGTTAAAATTATACATCAAGTATTTTGTGTGAGATTTGTGTCTAACCTACCTTAATTGTAAACCTAGAGATTGTTTTATTTGCCATACACATTTTTGATGATTTACTTTTCTGAGTAAACTGGCTTTTTTAACCAACAACCATTTGCTCAACTATCTTGTTTCCCAATGATGCAGTCTGGGTGTTGTAAGCCTCCAACATCATGCGGCTATACATACATAAATGAGACATTCTGGGCTGCGGGGGCAGGGATGGTTGTGAATGACATGGACTGCACCAGATGGAGCAATGATCAGCAGTCGCTGTGCTACCAGTGTGACTCGTGTAAGGCTGGGGTTCTTGCAAGCATCAGGCATAGCTGGAGAAAGGTCTCCGTGATTAACATTGTTGTGCTCATAATCCTTGTCATTGTCTATGTGATTGGCTGTGCCGCATTCAGAAATGCAAAAAGGGCAGACAATGATGAGCCCTTTGGAGAGAACAGGATGTCTAAATCTAGGCCTAGCCGGTTCCAGTTTTAGACAGGTATGTAGATCAGTGCTGTTATGTACAATAGAGACATTTTGGATGCTTGAAGGTTTGATTAAACTTTTAAAAAGTTCATATTTGTAGCACAGCGGAAAGGCTTCATCAAATTTCAACTGGCTGCGTTTCCCATGTAGTAATAGTTCAATTTGTCTCAGTTTACTTTTGTATGCTACACAGTCCTCAGTCAACCGCACTTCAAATGTTGTGTGCAATCTTCAATATTCTGTTGCTTGTGTCAAACTTTGTATACCTGGAAAATGCTTCATTAGTTTGTATGATCTGCATATTTAACTTCACTAAGAAGCCAGTGAAGTTTGCGGGACTTGTTATAGTTTTCTTCTAAACTTGGACATCGAATGTTATCAAATCGCCAAATCCAACGTCCATACTAGTTGTGTTGGTATAGAAGATTGCTCGAATTGATCTCATTTTTGAATTTTTTCATGTTTGACGAAATTGTTCTTCTTGTTATTTTGATGCATAATTCCTGGGCAAATGTGTAACTGATATTGATTAATAGATAATTTGGCTTTGAAGTTACTGTATTTTGACATCTTTTTGCTTAAAAATTTTAATTCATCAGTACATGCCATGAACAATTGCCATTGCATTTGCTCTTTGCTGCTCATATTAGTTGTTTGAGATTATGCTTCAGTGATGGTGTTCATTTGTCATATGACTCCTAATGTTGGAAATATAAAGCTATGTATGAGACAGGGTGGTGATCCGCAAAAAGCTTAAGCATTTGATTCAAAATTATTAAAATATTATATTTATATTATATAAAAATTTGTATATTAATTATAGATATATGTATATATACTGCAATATTATATTAAAATAGTTAGGGTCAAAATGCTATTTCAATATTTAAAGGGAAAATCTGTGAAAGAACCCCAACTAATGTTCCATGCTTTAGGGCAAAGAAGCTATAGTATGTGCATTATTCACTTTTGTCTATTGTCTATTGTCTTAGTGTGCACAAATATGAAGGCTTTCCAATTAAATTGAAGTACAAATGAATATCCAATTGGTGGAAAAAGAATTGGAAATAATTAATTACAGGAAATATAACTCTGTTGAAGGACATATTCTTGCTCATAGTTAATTGGGCATTCTTCATTGCATCAGACTTGGAGCTTCACCTTCAAATGCTTACTATATACTATCTTCAGATGTTCAATTAAGTTTGTAGGAATAATAAGGAATTAGGCTCATGTCCATTTGGCTTATTTTGTTGCTATGAATGACAATGATATTTTAACTGGATAATATCATTGGCAAAAAAAGTTTATTATGCAGCTATTATCTTGATGACTAGCTAATTCAGATTTTTCTATCTCAAGTTGTCAGCTTGCTAGTAGTAGATCATATAAACTGCAATTTGTTTGAAGATGTGATTGCTTGGAAGTAAAGTACAACTCTCATTGGATCATTACCAAATTCATGAGGAGTGCAAAATTACCAAGAAAGAAAGCTTCATTGACCTGAATCTGGTATGATCCCTTCTTGTCAACTTGAATCCATGAATGAAACTTGTGGGTGTTGAAATTACATCAAACCTGTAGTGATCTTTATCTGTGGTGTAGGTATTATATTGTCACCATTGCAAATAAGTATCATAAAGAAAAATCAAAGCTTCTCCTTATATTCACCAAGAAGTTATTTTTTGAATTTATTTTAATGACATGTTTGGTTTCAGATAAGTTTGGCCTGCCTTGGCTTGTTGTTCCTAGTCAAAAATTATTCACGCTGGAAGATGGCAAACTTGCAGGACTTTGCAGCCCACCATTTAGGTAACCTGTTAGCACTGACCCCTTCTTGTCAACTTGTATCCATGAATGAGACTTTTGGGTGTTGAAATTACATCAAACCTATGGTGATCTTTACCTGTAGTGTAGGTATTATATTGTCACCAAGACTGTCTTTTTCATCACCACTGCAAGTAGGAATTGTAAAGAAAAATCAAAGCTTCTACTTACATTGACCAAGAAGTTATTTTTGGGATTTATTTTAATGACATGTTTGGTCTAAGTTAAGTTTGGCATGCCTTGGGGTGTTGTTCCTAGTCAAAAATTATTCATATTGGAAGATGGCTAGAACTTTGCAGCCCACCATTTAGGTAACTTGTTACCACTGATAAATCCTTTTTTGTTTCTTATTGATCATGTTGGAAACAGTCAAAAGCATGTTCTTGCATTCAGTCTGATGGAGTCAATACATGATTCATTCCAAGTGTATGTTTTCAATCTTTATTTAGTCATGCTGAAGCCAAAAGAAAAAAAAGGTTTTTGATGTTTAGTGCAGTTCATCCTGTAGAATGATTATATTATCTATTGATTGATACCATCACTATAGCTACTTAATTATAATTGGTATCACCATCATCATCTCTATACTACTTTGAAGTTGTGCATGATGGTGATCGAATTTTGGGACCAATTCTTGGACATTAAAACAACTGAAGTCATGGCTTAGCAAATCAATCAATCTTATTGAGAAACAAAACAAAGATTAACTATAGAAGCCTCCCCTGACATTTGATCCAAAACAGGGCTTTCAGCCAAACTTACTGACCATCAAATCAAAGCTAGACTTGAGGCTTGTACTGTTGCTGCATCTTCTAAGGTTACTTGGAAAATTTGCTCTTTCCTTCTGTTGACATTTGCTACTTGTTAGATTAATGTCTCTCTCAAACTTCATGCTTTCTAATTGCAAAGTTGATTCTTTAATGTTTTGCTACTCATTCCCTCTTTTGGGAGATGTGTTCATCAGAGACTCAGAAAATAGAATAGTATTATGTTCATAGAATTGTAATGCTATGCACTAAAGTATAAGCACTTTATGATTGTCTTACAACGACATGGATGACTTCTTTCTTGCTCTGTTTCATCTCATGAGAAGCTAATTACCTACATGCGTGTCGACAAGCACCTGCAGATTTCTCATGCCCACCGGGGCTCCTCCCAAACCGATCCCAGGCCGCAGTCGTCGACGCAGTATCCGCCGTTCTGAAGCATGCAAGAATCGGCGACGACGCCATCCGTGGCCTCGCCCGGGCGCTGTTGCTGCGACCGAGCCGTCGCCGTTGAAGCCAACAGCTGTGCGTGCTGAGCTTGCAAGATGACATGCTTCGCCTGCGCTCGGGCCAGCTGCTCTTGGAGCTCGTCCACTTGCTTCTGGAGGTGGCAGATGACTCCGGCGCACCCGTAGACTCGATCTCTCAACCTGGCGTTCGCCTCGTACACCATGCTGTTCACCGCGTCCGCCCTCCTGCTCTCCGGCAGGTCCTGTAAGCGTCCGAGACGGCATCAAAGATCACTCTCGACCGTGGAATTGAACTCTCGACTGCTTACCTGCAACAGCTTGATGATGTTGCCGGCGCCGAAAACTCGGTGCGCGGTGGTGAACTTGAGGGTCTCGGTCGGCGGGAAGAACGGCGCGAGAAGACAGCTAACGGTGCATCTCCGGCGGAGGCTCTTGCAAGCGGCGCAAGGGCTGAGAGCAGTTGGGTGTGGAGGAGGAGCTGAGTTAGCAGAAGAGGAAAGCGAGGGAGAGAAGGGAGGAGGTGTCGTCTTAGTAGCGAGGATGGTTGTAGTCGCCGATGCTGTTGTTGTGTCACTCGAAGAAGACATGATGAGAGAGTGCAACGAACGTGTGGGGCTCCTCAGACCATTGCAATTTATAGAGTGCCAAAGATCCCGCCGACAGAGCATACACAAAAATTGGGAATTTGACCATTAATTCTTTTTATCCAAAATTTAAGAATTGATGTGAGAAATAAATATAAATTGATCCGATTAATTATCATCAATGCTTTTTATGCTCATTGATATTATATATATATATTATATATATATATATATATATATATATATATATATATATATATATATATATATATATATATATATATATATATATATATATATATAATTTTAAATTATTTAATATTTTTTAAAATATAACATACAGTCTTATTATATATAATAATTATAATTTATTATTTTAAATTGAGATGGTATGATTCTAAATACTCTCAAATGAGGATTTGGATTTCCGGTATAAGAAATTAGGCTCTCAGCTAGCAAAGTTGGAAATCAATAGATTTGATTTAAATTCCAATAATCAAATGTCTTTGTCCGAAACAAATTGATAAAGGCCGGACAATATTTAGTCTTCCTCTCTATTAATGGGGCTTTTGGCATGCCATTGCACCCCGACCTCCTAGCCCTTCGTTCACCACACGCCTAGTTTCATTGGCCCTTTGAGTACCATTGCCCCCGACCTTGCAGCCTCATCGGTCTACATGCACTATTATCGTGTCACCACACCCGATCATACTATATCATCTCCATAGGTCATTGTGCCCAATCAAGTACCCATCGATATTGACACACTAATACTATTGAGTTTGCATGTCAAGTCGGGCATATCGAGCCCAATAACTCGAGTCAGATAGTCCAAGAATACTAAGTTGGATAGTCTGAGTTAGACATTTTATCATCTCTTACACTAACAACAGAACCGTACTTCCCGACCAACTATTTTAGAACTTCTCGATAAAGGTGACGTGGTTGATTCATCAAACACTCTATGCTATCATTGTCACTTTGTGTTTAACAAGGGTCCTCTCCATACGTCCAAGCCACTAGCTGACACATGGCCCGAGCTAATATCACATAAACAACATGGTAAATAGGCATAAAAGTCGGTGATGGCAGTTCCAATCGAATGGCTCGGGATCAGCAAGGATGGTTGGTTGTGATCAATTTTCACATCTTATTTATCGAACAGACTATATATAACACCCTTCTCTCATATGGTCACTATAAAAGGGGTTACGCAAGTTTAACCCCTAAGATATATCGAACAACGAAAGCATGACCATTCAAAACTTTAGTATCTGAGGGCATTATCTGGAATGGGCCCACTTAGTTTTTGTAGGCTTTAGATGTCTAACTCCATAAATTCCCACCTTAAAATAAATATAAAAAAAAGAAGACTTTCTGTTCGAACAATCAAAATATACTCTTAACAATAGCAAAAAATGGACCCTTAACAATAGGGTTTTACATAACACCGTTTCACTTACTCTCCTGTGTGGTAATTTTTCTTACATGTTGGGCTGGAAGCAATACTTGCGTGCTTCGATTGGTCTCTTTCATTTCCGACATGCACGAGAGAAGACGAGCAGCCACAGGCGATCATGTCTTCCACCTCATCGGCAACCTCTCTACTCACGACCCTCTTCATCATACTCGTGCCTCTCTCTTTGCTGCTGCTTCTGCTGCAGGATAAGAGGAACTCCCGTGGGCATCCCCCTTGCCCGCCGCGGCTTCCCCTCATCGGCAACCTCCACCAGCTGGGCCCACTACCGCACCGCTCCCTCCATGCCCTGTCGCAGCAACACGGCCCGCTCATGCTACTTCGCCTGGGCCAGGTGCCGGCGCTCGTGGTCTCCTCGCCGGACGCCGCCCGGGAGGTG